AAGGAAGGAAGGAAGGAAGGAAGGAAGGAAGGAAGGAAGGAAGGAAGGAAGGAAGGAAGGAAGGAAGGAGTGCTTTGCCTCTAGAGCCAAAAAGGTCCATGTGCCATACCTATCAACATCTCCTTAAAGCAGCTGCATCTTTTCCTGGACCCCCACAGTAACCACACAACCCCAGGAAAATAATACATTCGAATTAAAGAGATGCCAACGATGCACTCACTCTTGCTCTGAAGCGCCTTGTCCACACCCTGTTGGTACCTCCTTAACCCAGTTATATATTTGCCTGGGATTGCATGGCTACTGTGCAAGGCCAGGAGAAGTTGCCATTGCTTTAAAGAGGCACCAGCAGATACAGCATGGATACTCACTCCAATGCACCTTTTTTGTACTTGAATTCCAAGTGCAGTTGATCCCTAACAAGGATGATATTATTACCTCCCATTTGACTGCTTATATTCCCCTTGCTCCGCAAATTTCAAGTATTAAGCCCAGGTGATAGGGAACACATGGACAGATGTGAAGGAAATTAAGATCTTCTGAGTACCAGGACTGGTGTGTCTTTATTAGTACATAAAGGCGCTTCAGTTAGATGAATAATGCACATTTGCTGACTGTGGCGAATATTCAGGCTAATGAAAAGTAGCAAGGGGTTTCCAAGAGTTTCAAAATAATATTTTCTGGGAATAAGCAATAACAGGGCAGATAATCCTGTGCCATCTAACCTTGGGGCGAGAAGTTTAATTCCATATATACTGCAGTTTGAGATCGTGGTAGCTGGCCAGGAGAAAGATCTGAAGAGTTCCTGCAGACAGTTGAAGCTGATTATGCAGCCCTTGTGAGCAGTGCAAATTCTGAGCAAAAGAGAACCAGGGAAGACATCTCAAAACAGTGGCCAGTATTTTAGTTTCAAGTACAACATGACCATTCTTAGAAGGCTGAATTCTTTGGCGTGTTGCTGCATTTCAGGAAAGGTCAAAATGGAAAAGATTCCAAAAAGGATGAGCTGAATAGCTAACGAGCTGGTTTTGCTCCTCGTGAGGTTTTCACTTGAGGCAAAAGAGGCTTCTGGGGGGCGTGATGGAAGTGAATGAAATTGTCCTAATCTGATGAAAGCAGATACGGAGGTTTTATTCTTCTTTGCTAATGATGCTGAGTGGTGATGAGAAATGGCAGGAAGAGCAAATGGGAGCACTTTCTCCACATCTGCTTTTGAAGTTCTTCTCACTTCCAGATGTTCAGATGACTTTAAAAGGCGATTGGGAAAAATACAGAAATGCATAGCTATGAGAGGCTATAAATTATGATCTCACTAGAAGCAACATTCGACTCAGTACAAATCATGGGAAACCACAATAGCAGGGAGCTATTTTTCTGGGCTTCCACCCAAGTTAATCCAGGTTTGATTAGCCACCCTGGGAGGTAGGATGCTGAGTCTTGGTTCCATCCAGAAGTCTGTGTTCTTACCCTTTTTCTTTTCTTTTTGCGTTTATTCAGGTGATTCGGATCCTCGACGAGGTAAGTTGATCCTCTTAAACCACCACTTTTGCAAATGTATTGTCTGTCTCCTGGTCAAAGTTCACATTTTTGTCATTGCATTAGAATATTACATTTTACTTAGGCTATAAGATTTTCACCACTCTCTGTTCTGCAGCGCTCTTTTGATACTTTGCATGATGTTCCTTTCCCAAAGGTCAGGGAATAGAAACATGTTTTATCACTGTTCTAGTGTAATATACTTCATTTATTTCAATTTATATGGCCACGCATCTCACATTGATGACTCTGGGTGGCTAACAGGGCAAAAAGGAAAATATAAAAGCATTAAAACCGAAAACCATAACCCCCCAAATGTATTTTTTGCTTTATTGTATTTTTATTGTCGGCTGCAGCAGTTGGTAGAAAGACAAGGGACAAATATAGCCAGTAATTTAATCCAGTCAGTGTTTGATTAAGAGAGAATGGAAGGGCAAGGATTGCACAGCTATTGCTACGGATAGCAGGGATTTGAACCTAACCCCCCTTCCCCAAATTTAATCCAGCATATACTACAGTCATGTCTTTCACCAAGGTTCTTCTGTTGTATAAGAGCAGTCATTGAGATCTGCTGTTTGCTGGTGGAAAGAGTTCTGGTCCACCCCATCTTGAAGGCCTGGGGTGGAGGCAGCGTACCAATTTATTGATACCAAAGTTTGTACACTGCCTACATCACAGGGCTCAAGGTTATTTGCAGTAGTACCATATGAGTACCATCCCGCTGTGTTTTCATCAGATTAAAGTCTTTGCCTGATGTCTAGGGGGAAAGACATTCATAAATATGGAAGGGATACTTTTTTGTACTGGACTCTATAAAGCAGGAAGAAGTTGGCCTATTTTGGCTAGCTCAAAGTTAGAGGGCAGAACCAGGGTTTTAGGTATTTCTTTCTTATTCTGCCAATGGTACCTTCTCTTGACTTTCCCCTTTCTTGCCTTGGTGACTCACTAGAGCTGTTTAAGTTCTCCAACCCCTGTCAAGACGTTGTGGGCACAAGACATACCTTTACATCTTAGGAAAGTCAAGATCCAGTTCTGGATGCTCGATTCCCAACATAATATTTCAGGCCACAATTAAAGCAAAACACCCTGAGGAGTTTGCTTTCTTATTTTATTTTGTTTTATTTCACTTCATTTTATAGCTCACGGTAATCTGGTGGTGATGTTCGCAAGTTTTTCATATGTGTGTCATCGCTTTGTAGTTAAAATGCATTCCACTGTTAGTAGTATTGCTAAAATGTCACTCCCCTAAGCTTTTTGTTCATATGTAGGCCCATAACAGCTGCCAGAAAGAGGCAGAGTAGCTTACAGCCCTCTGTTTTCACCCAGGAGTGCTTGACAATGATGAGTTGCTGTTGGTTTTGGCCCAGCCTGACCCCCACGAATGACCAAAGCCAGCTGAAATGTTCAAACGGAATACACTGGGTAGTAGGCTTCCCGGTTCCCACACTCCACCCAACAATGTAGTCTGTGTGCTGAGTAACTCTGCAGAGGAAGCAAAGCATGGAGTCTTTGTCAGCTAGGAGCACAATGGTTCTCAGGTCTTCTAGGCCAAGGGTAGAAGGAGTTCAAGAGAACAACAGGGAAGGATGACTCAAGTAACATCACCCCACTGAATTTGTAGCAGGTTTTGTATCTGGGATAGGACACTTCCACTGGCTCCTTCAGGATTCAGTTCCACCACCCCATGAATATTTTGGAGACTCATAAAGTTTCAGAAAAACTTTATGAAACAGCTGGGCTATCTTTTGAAGGTCACAAGTGCTGGTAGATGTGTATGAAGGCCTACAACCCTTTTCCTTCTTTGTTCAGTAGAACTGTTTCCAGAGTGAGGGTGAGGACTAACTTCAGTACAGTGTGGGAACCAGTATGGCGTACAGATTAAGCTATTGGACCAGGGAAATGCAAGATCAAGTCCACCCCAAGCCACAGATGCTCTCTGGATATCTTTGGACCAGGTCCTCTCTCTCAGCCCAACCAACCCTTAGGGCAGTTTCTAGGTCCTTGGTGCCTCTTAAATTAACCTTGGACTATTGTGTATTGACAATAATAAAGTTTATGCTTTCTGTCCACACATGTTCTCCTGCACAGATATTGAAAGTCTGTTCATATTTTCTGTTACAGTTCAGGAAAAAAACCTGCCATTTCTTTAACACACATGAACCAGCTGATAGCTTCACATTTGTTAATAAGACTTCTATGTTGCCTTGATCATAACCAAATCTAAGTACTTAACATTTGCTCATTGTAAATGAGTGGTTCATATCCTATAATGGCAATCCTTTGAGGACGCATGCTCCTTCTTGATAGAGATTATAACACGTGTTGTCATTTTAGAAGATACAATAGGAGACTTCTGTTGGCTATGACTAGAGCAGTGTTTCTCAAACTTGACCACTTTAAAACGTGTGGACTTCAACTCCCAGAATTCCCCAGCCAGCATGGCTGGCTGGGGAATTCTGGGAGTTGAAGTCCACACGTCTTAAAGTGGCCAAGTTTGAGAAACACTGGACTAGAGCATCTTATTCCCATGCTGGTCAGCCAGATTCCTTTGGGGAACCTAGAAGGATGATTGGAGTCACACCTCTGCTCATGTGAATGTCTTATCCTCCCAAACTCAAGTTCTTGGGCACTTTTACTAACCTTAGAAACACAGTATACCGAATAAGAAAGACGAGAGAAAAACAAACTTCAGCCATCGTTGTTTTGTAACCAAGATTAGTTCTTAAGCACAGAAGCCTTTTTATGATACTGAAAAGTACGTAGAATTTTCTCAGCAGGGAATTCTGGAAGGCTGATCGCTTCTTCCCCCAAACCACTGTCCTCTTCTGTAGGATCATGCCTGCTTTAATATTGCAAACCCCTCTAATGAGCAAGAATCACTTCTATGGACATACTGACTGCTTCTGGTGCCGAAATTAAAATAGTTTAATCTATGGACAGCCAATTATTGAGGCAGATCTGTAAGAGATCGTCTTTGGTGGCTGTAAAGTTTTGGGGAGGCTGTGTACTTTCCCTTTCTAATACATTTGGCTCCAAATCAGAGTTTCTTCTTCTCTCTCTCTCTCTCTCTCTCTCTCTCTTTTTCTTCTTTCACGGTTGCTGTTACAACCGCAGGCAGGAAGCAGAATGGAGAGTTTGCAACTGCTTTCTTTTGTGTTCACTGGTTGTGCTGTCCTGTCCCTTCCCCCCTCCCCTGCCCTCCCCCTCCCAGGACAGAGGTTGGAGGGCAAGGTCCAAACCCATCAGCTTTCCAGGCCACCCTTGTGAACTTGCAGAAGAATCATTTATTGCTCGCTTTTTCTTTTCTTTCTGTTTGGGGGCTAAGGGAGGGGTGTCTTTCTGCAAAAAAAACAACACCCCAAACCACACACATATAGAAAAACACAATCTCAGCTGCTCCAAGCATGCGCTGAACAGTCTTTTATTGTAGAATGTCAGCACGTAGCATTAGCTTGCCTGGAATTTAAATGCTCTGTAAAAAACACCTTTGGAGAGTTGAATTCCCGACGGGCACAAACTTTCAAACTTGGAACAGCTCACTGGATTTCATCAGAGAGTAAACTAGACAACACAGAAATCAGGAAACAAACTCACACTTGATGGTTGATGTATCTTTTTCTTTTTTAATGCCTATGCAGCTGTCTCTGTTTCTGATTTCAGCTCCTCTACCATTCCTTGTAATATGTTGGATTGTGTAAAATGTGCAGATTTACAGACCAGATTCAGGTTGAGCAGTGAAGGCTATGGAGTGGCCAGTCACTTCTCAGCCAAATCCATTTCCAGTGTGGCTAAGATGAAAATACCTTTATTTCTTTATTTACTGGGTTGATATGTTGTTGCTAACTCTGACAGGCTTATACTGTATATCCTACCTTCATGAATACAGTTAAACACAATTTAAAAATAGCTGCAAGAGCTACCCATTTTAGTAGACAAGAGGCAATAATACTCCACTAGCAACAAGGGCATCACCATTGCAAGAGGAAAAATCTCATACTGTGTCCGTCTCCAAAGCTGGTTGGGATAGCAAGGTTTTAAATGTTTAATCCAAGATGATAATTTGCCAATTCTTTGGATGCATGGATTTGTATACTGAAGACTGTTTCCATAGTTGCTGGGAAATTCATACGACAGAGTCTGTGGTTGTCAGAATGCCTGTACGGGTGGAAGAAAGTTGGGTTTTCATCTCAATCATTTCACCTCCCAACATCCCACCCTTTGGGAATTGAATGCAGAAGCTTTGATATGATTGCCATTGCCATTTTCTAAGCCAAAATAAATCACCCCAAGTATATACATTTTCTCTTTCTTCCAGATGAAACACCAATCATCGCTGTAATGGTGGCATTGTCCTCCTTGCTAGTCATAGTATTTATTATTATTGTCCTGTACATGTTAAGGTAAGCAATCTTGTCCTCTTGATTTCATCCTTGCACTGCATTGATATATGTTTCTCATAGGGTTGCAAGAGATTATTGTAAAGACGCAACAATCAATCTAAAATGTTGCTCTGGCTGCCTTGTACCTCTGCCACCTTTTGGGGCCACCACACCTCCCACAGTACCCCATAACATTCCCCAGCTTTCCAATGGTGGCCTTTATTCCCCTTGTGCACCCTAGAGACTTACAAAAGGGCTAGGCACAGAGTCTCTGCAGTGGCTTGATTTTCAGCCAAGCACACGGGGGGAAAAGTGGGTTAAATGTTGAGAGCAAAGAGGAGAGGGAAGAAGGAAGTTCTTGTTGTCTTCAGGAAACTTTCTGGCGTGGGAGAACACCTATCACAGGTTTCCAAAACGTGCAGGCAAGCACAGGTCCACAAGCTGTATGCCCTGTTGTCGACAAAGCAAATGGGATGATAAAGGATGGGAAATCAGGGAGAACGAATTGGATTTGTGTATTTGTTCTGCTCATACAAACAAGCCTTTGCTTGCCTGCGATTCTTAGAATGGATAGATTTAGGGTTCATTTTCTGGAAATGCAACCCTATGCCTACTTATCTAG